CAATGCTTTTGTAGTTTAAACAACTGTTCACTCTTACCCTTAGTGGTCAAGAATCCAGTTATTAATTGTTGAATAAGTTGGGCCATACAGTATATGAATGTAAAGAGAGCCAACGTTCACTGTGGAGTAGATCACATGATGACAAGCTTCAAAAATGTCTTGCAGAACAGTAACAACGATGGTGGGCTATAGCAGAAAGAACTGAAGCTAAAAATCTGGGTTTATATGGAACCTAATAGGTTGTCATTTGGGAAAGTTTGAGCACTCTCAATGTAGGCTCTAAAACTTGGATCCCAATCCCTATAGCATGTAAATTCTTGGAAGACAGGAATCTTATCTGATGGGTTCACTGTTGTCTCCAGTTCTGGCACATAAAGGATAATCTACAAATGTCTGTTGAAAGGCTGAGTGAGTAATCACAGCTTTTCCACTGATTGGCCATGGGAACTTGGGGTAGATCCTTCAATGCTCTGAGGCTTAGTCTTCTCACAGGTAAATGAGAATATTCTATTTAAATGGTGCTATAGGGATGAAGTGACAATGTGTGAAATTCTGAACCATGGTAGGTGTTCGATAGTTTAGAAAGAGGTGGTAGGAACTTGATGGTTAATTATTTTTCTAACTCCTAGTTCATTTGTGAAGTTGCCTCTTGCCTTGCTGGTTGTTTGTCTAAAAATTGAAGATAATCTTCACGCTCAAAAGACCCAAACCACCCTGAAACCTTCTGAGGAAGGGTTTTTAAAGGCAAGGTGAGGACGAGGGTCGAAAGGTGCCTGATCGGCTTGTGGACATTCTTCTGATTGGTTGGTAGTGCGGTAACCGGGTGGTATTTCGGGAATCAACGTCATCAACCTTCTGGTTCCAGCTAGTCTGGGATCTATGTGCTTACGGCCAGCATGCGGTAAAGGGTAACTTCTTCCACCTGGTGGGGGTTTTAGTATCTGCAAATCAGCTCAAGGGTATAGCTCAGGATATTACCTGTAACCCCCGAGGAGGAACTAAAGGTCCTTGACTTTGTTTTATGGCTATACTATGATGATTTTCTCTTGCTTGACTATTTTCCTTTGTTTCTGCATTGTCTCACTTCACTGATTAAATCTGCTCTTTGGAACTCAGGGAGGCTAAAGCTTTTTTACAAACAAGAGGGAGAGGACACGGGGTGTGTTGTGGTTAGGAGGGGAGTCTGTTCCTGGGAAGGCCTCGCAGGGTCCTGCTTGGTTTCAGTAGGACTGAGTAGCTGAAATTTAAATTTTTAATTAACTTAAGTTGAAATAGCCACATGTGGCTAGTGGCAACTATATTGAACAGCAGAGATGTAGGATATTTTTATCATCACAAAACATTCTCTTGCACAGGGCTAGTATGGATGGTTCTTAAGGCCCCTATATCTGATGAGTTCATCTACAGAATGGATGTAGATAAAAAGAAGAACAGGCCAAGGACTGAGCCCTGGACAACAATACCATTTAGAAGTCTAGGAATAAAGAGGGAGTAAGATAATAAGAGGCAGTGGCCGTTGAGTTCAAGTGATCATATTGTCATGAGAACAAGAGAAGAAAAAGTTTTAAGAAAAAGGATAGTACTCCAATGGATACAGAATTGTCCATTAGCCTTAGGGAGACGCAGATTTGGGGGAAACCCATAAAAAGCTACTTCAGAGGCACGGTGAGGGACAAAAACCCACTTAAGTTGGATTGAGGAGAAAAGGATGGTGAGTAGTGAAGTGAGTGTAGACAATTTTTCAGAAGCGTTCTGCCATGAAGGGAAACAAAACAATAACTCAATTAGAAGATGAGCAAAAGATATGAAGAGACATTTCACCAAAAAGGATACACAGATGTCAGATAATTAAATTATATGCCCAACGTCATTAACCATTAAAGAAATGTAAAATAAAGCCACAGTAAGATATCACTACACCTTTCAGAACGGCTAACGTAAAAAATAATGACAACATCAAATGATGAGGGTGCAGAGAAACTAAGTCACTCATACATCCCTGCTAAGAATGTAAACTGGCGGTTTCTGAAAAGCTAAATGTGGAAATACCATCTGACCCAATAACTGCAACCATGGACATTTATTCCAGAAGAAGAACACTAATGGCTACACAAGAAGGTTCTTCTTTATTTACATGAATATTTATGGCAGCTTTATTTGTAATAACCCCAAACTGGAGAGGACTGAGATGTCCTTCAGAGGTTAATGATCAAACAGGTTGTGGTACCTCCATTCCATGGAACAATACTAAGCAATAAAAGCAAACAACGGATACGTGCAACTTAGATGCATCTGGAAGGAATTATACTGAGTGAAAAATACCAACCTCAAAGGTAGCATGCTGTGATGATTAATTTGATGTGTCAACTTGGGGCCACAGTACCCAGACATTTGGTTAAACATTATGCTGACTATTTCTCTGAGGGTTTTGGAGGAGATTTATATTTAAATCAGTGGACTTTATAAAGACGCAGACATAGAGAATGGCCTTGAGACACCAAGGGGGAAGGGTAAGCTGGGACGAAGTGAGAGAGTGGCATGCACATATATACACTACCAAATGTAAAACAGATAGCTAGTGGGAAGCAGCCGCATAGCACAGGGAGATCAGCTCAGTGCTTTGTGACCACCTAGAGGGGTGGGATAGGGAGGATGGGAGGGAGATGCAAGAAGGAGGTGATATGGGGATATATGTACACGTATAGCTGATTCACTTTGTTATACAGCAGAAACTAACACACCATTGTAAAGCAATTATACTCCAATAAAGATGTTAAAAAATAAAATGAAATGAAAAAAGAAGTAATCAGAATGTGACTTGAAGGGTTTACAAAGTGAACCCTAAAAAAACAACCACACAGAGCTGTTTCACGCAGCCCAGAGGGGATCTCTGGGTGATTCTGGACACTGGCGCACCTCACTGAGAGGCCCCCATCCGGACAACAAAGCGAGAAAAGCCTGACTATCCCACAGCCAGGGAAAAACGAAGACGCCTTCATGCAATCGGACCCGCAGCTCCTCGGGTGGGCGCTAAGGCAAACTCTCCTGAGAGGTCGAAATGCATTATCAGTTCTCCGGAGGCTAAATCCCAATGCAATCACTGGAACAATTCCTCCACCCTACAGCCGGAGATAAAGTTTCAGCCATCCCTAAAATGTGCAGAGATTACTTATTTCTGAGTAAGAGAACAGGAGCGGTCTGGGCTAAACCAGAGGAAACTGGTCTAGGTGGCTTAAGGTCCAGCGTCCCGGTTAAGCGAGTGGCAGGGCGTGTTTCCAATGAAGAAAACAGCTCCCTTGCGCGCTGTGCGCGCAGCTCCAACCCTGCAGGAGAAGTTAAAGGCTCCACGGCCCCACGCAGCACTCAAGGCCATCTCTTAAAAGGAAGATTCAAACAACAAAGGTTGGTAAACAGAGGGAACTATCATTTTTGACAGCCGCACAAAGACTTTCTGGCAGAGTTTCCTGTCACTGGAAAATGATTGCTAAGGAATCGTCTCCTGATTAAATACGCTCAGACAATTGGTCGTGCGCATCACCAGCTGAAACTGGAGCAGAAAGCCAGGCTGTGCACTAACAGCAGCGCGGCTACCTGGGGTCTTTAAATTCTGATTTCAAAACTGCTCCCCAAAGCTTGACTCTGCAAGGGAGAGTGCCTTATGTTATGATTCAATGGGTTAATCCATGTAAAGCGCTGAGAGCAGCACCTGGCACTAAACAAGAACTCAATAAAGATTAACTATCTTTGTTAGTAATATTCATTCATGCCTTTCCACTCAGAAATTACTGTATTGCTGTTTATGGTTACGTTTCTCTCTCCTTATGCATTATGAGCTCCAAAGTGTCATATTTATATCATGCATCTCAGAGCCTGGGACTGTGCTGGGCTCAATAAAAGTTTGTGATTTGAATTGAATGATACTCACTTGCATTACCTTGCAGAAGTGATACAAATGAAAAGAGTGGGGAAATCAAAGACAAATGAAATCTGAGCCTCCTTTACCTCCTCATTCTGTTTCCTCATTTATGGGGCTGTTCGTTACATCTTCCCTGCTGGACACTGGTTCCAGCTGAGCCTCAGTGGAACCAGTAACACGGTTTGCCAGGCACAGTTCAAGCTCAACCAATTTTGATGTCACCTGCCCCCACCCCCACCCCGAGACTGGACATAGTGGAGGATGTGCAGATGGGCACAAGCCCAAGCCCTGGGAGATTTATTTGAGAGCTCCACTACTGCCTCCTTCAGGTGCCTCTTGACATACACCGAACCAGTAACTATAACAGCAAAAACAAGAGCAACCAACATTTGCTGAGCACCTATTATTCACCATGCTAAACACTTTCATATATTACCACATTTAACCCAACCAATAAACAAAGTGTATATTCTGTTATTTTCATTCCATCAGGTGAAAAAACTAAGGCACAGAAAAGTCACAATGAGCCGCTTGTTTAAGGTCACAACACCAGTAAAATGGTGAGATTGAAACCCAAGTTCCTGACTCTCCAAACGCATTCAGGTAACCACTCAAGCCTACAGTGACCTCTGGCCACACAGTCCAGCTCTGAAGCGCAAAGCACCACAGAACTGTTTCTCTGCAGGGCAGTGCATGTGCCTCCCACGCACCTGTCTTTCTTTTCCCCACGGCATAGCATGGCAGCCCAGCTTCTCTCATTTTCGACAAAAGACCCCAAAGATTTCTTTTTTCACCTGCCCCTGGTTACTGCCCCATTTAGAACGTGCCTTAAAACATGACCGCCTCTGGTTTCTAACTTACGCCTAAGGGACCTGCTCCCATTTTCTTTCCTGGTGGAACAAAGGCATTGAAGCCACAAGTCACAGAGGCAAAGCATTTATTGATTGGATTCCCATCAATATTCGCCCTCTGCCCAGGATTAGACTTGGCCTCATGCCTTCTTTGCTTTGCTCCTCCTACTCTAATGTATAACTAGTCTCAGGAAGCTGGAGGAGGACAGTCAGGGACTGGCCACTGTATCTGCCACACTCACTACAGGACTGGGAATTAAGAGGAGGACTCCAACCCACAAAATGACAGAAGATAAGGTACAGTCGTATTGTGTCCATTTGAGGACATGAATAGGGAAATCTGTTGAAGTCAGTGAGCATGTTGAGGATTTGGGGGATGTTGGGTGTAGCTGTCACAGATCAAAGCTACTTCTCTTGGCCGACTGATAGTTTGGCTGCTAAAAAAATCATATTTTTTATTCAGTAATTGGGACTTTAAGGATATTTGCTCTCTTTTCTGACTAGTCTGTGTAATGTTTTCTCGAGTGGTACTACATAACCATATTATGGAAGGAATGTGCAAAAAGAGGCATATTAACCCAAATCTAACTAATCGTGAAACGGATCTGAAATCTTCAAAAAGATCAATATTCGAAAAACAAGGGGTAGAAGGCCTGTTTTAGATTAAAGGAGACTAAGAAGAACTGATGACCAAATGCAACAAGTGATCTTAGATGGTGGAAGGAAGAAGAAAACAGCTCTAAGGGACAATATGGGGATAGTGAGAAATTTTGAAAATGGTATAGTAGATAATGTTTTATAACTATTACATTCTTGGATATGATAATGGTATTGTAATTATGTAGGAGAATGTCTATGTTCTTAGTGAGTACATACTGAAGTATTTAGGAGTGAAGTGACACAACTATCTGCTACTTATTTTCAAATGATTCAGACAAAACAACACACACACACACACACACACACACGGAGAGTTAAACAAATGTGGTAAAGGTTAACCATTGGTGAACATAGGTGAAGGTTATGGAGTGTTCACTGCACTACTCTTTCAACTTCTCTGTAGATATACTTTTCAAAATAAAAACTTGAAAATAAAAAGGGTATAGTGCTGTTGCTGTCTTCTAAGTATCCCCCAACCAAATGCACCCACCTCTGCACACAATCATACAAGTGGGTAAATGCATGTTAGAGTAGGACCTCTAAGTTCTGATCTGGTGTAACTTACTCTGCTGAGCCATCTTTCATGTCAGTAAGTGACAAGGCTAGGAGCACAGGCTTTGCAGTCAGGGACCTGGATTTGGAGTGTGCTGATACTACTTACCTGCTGTGATACTGGGGTTAAGTTATTTAACTGGCCTATCCACTAATTGAGATTTTAAGGATATTTTCTCTGTTTTCTGAGTAGTCTGTATGATTTTCTCGAGTGCTTTTCTCTATTGCAACAAATTAAGAACACATTGGGATATAACATAAGGATATAGTATGGGATATACAGGGATTATAATAGTTCTCTACTGTATGGGTGTAATTAAATGAGATAGTATTAGAGAAACTCAGATGACAAACATTTTAATGTCAATAGTTATGTATTTATATAATGTGTATTTAAGGAATAACTAGGATTTCATGATTTCCTATAACAGCCCAGGATACAGCTAAAGTAGTTAAAACTTTAAAAATAGTATAAAGACAAATATTAAGTTAATAACTATACAGATGGTATGTAGATTTGGCAAAAATTATGAAGGTAGTGTTCAAACAACTGAAGTTTGGTAGATATTGCAAAAAGAAAGGTGCTTAACCACAGTGCCTGGCACATAGCCTATGATCAAGTTTTATATAGAACTATCCTTAAATTCCCTTAGGGGCCTTTAGAAATTGTGTTGTAGTACTTCTCTTGAGAATTAAGGAATTGCCTAAAAAGGGAACCCAGAAAGAATGAGAACTGATGTAAAGCACAATGTTATAGCTTTGTAAAACCACCCAGACTTTGAAAGAAGTGAACTAAGCATGAGACTGAGGGTTAGGAGACCTGGGTTCTCACTCTGGATATGCCCAGTAATGCACTGTATAATTCAAAAGACTTGGACTCAGATTCTTCAACTGAACAAGGAAGAGATTAGCCTAGAATCCATTGCTCTCAAAGGTCCCTTTCAGCTTGAAAATTCTATGGCTTGAGAAGCTCCTGGACTTTTCCAAAGTTGGGTGCAAGATCGCCTTTGGGTTGGTGTACATAGTATTTTGTAGAGGAAAGAGTACAAGCTCTGCTCCCTACCTAGTCAATCAATAGATGCTGAAAATCTGCCTTTTTGTTTAGCAGTGGGAGTTTAAGATGAGCTCTGGTTTCCAATACAAGAGTATCGTTATTCATCAGCTATGTGTGTTGGGCATACCACTTCATCTCTGAGCCCTGGTTTCCTCACCTGTAAAATGGGGATAATTTCATGTACTTTGCAGTAGTGTTGTGAAGATTATTGGTGATTTCTAAAAATTTGACAGGTGGTTGTTTGGCAAGAGTGATAAATGAGATGATAATGATGTGATTAAAGATCAGTTGGTTTTTAGCCCTTTCACTATTTATAGGAAGACCACAGTATGTATCTTATTCAGCCTTTGTAACAAATCTATGCATTAACTATTATTATACCCATTTGCGGGGTAAAGAAACTGAGATTTGGGGATGCTAAGGGCCTAGCTGGGACTCTTCCAGGTTTTCTGACTCCCAAGCCTACTTGTTTTTCCTAATAGACTCCATCTGATTTCTAAGCCACAAAATAAACACCACATTTGGTTTTTTTTGTTGTTTGTTTGGTTTTTTTTTTTTTTGCGGTACGCGGGCCTCTCACTGTTGTGGCCTCTCCCATTGCGGAGCACAGGCTCTGGATGCGCAGGCTCAGCAGCCACGGCTCACGGGCCTAGCCGCTCCGTGGAATGTGGGATCCTCCCGGACCGGGGCAAGAACCCATGTCCCCTGCATCGGCAGGCAGACTCTCAACCACTGCGTCACCAGGGAAGCCCCACATTTGTTTTATGTTAAGGTTCAGCCACTTGCCCATTCTACTCTTCTACATTTATCCAGCAGCATATTTTTAATTGGATATAGAACATAGTTTCTTTAACTTAAAATTATTAAGCTCTAAATGAAGACAGTCTTTCTAAAAGTGCATGCTTACTACCTTGTTACCTATGAAGAAGTTGAGAGAAAAGGCTTGAATATCTTCTGCCACTTGGTGGATATATGGCCTTTAGATGAGTTCATTACCCTTTCCATATCATTACCTTTTCCCATATGTAAAATGGTATAATAATTTCCACCTACAAGGTTGTTGAGAGAACAGGCAAACCATTTAGAACACAGAGCCTGGACAAGAGTAAGTTCCTCTCTAAGTTCTCACTGTTTTCACTAGCTCCTATGTACCTATCCTTGAGTCAACCTTTTGGATATTAGATTGAATGAATGGAGGTTAATGGGCCAATTCAAACTTAGTTGTTTAGTAGTTTTCAGAAATTTTCCCTCTCATAAACAAAACTTTCTTTGACCAAGTCTAACCACAAAGAAGGTTAACTACAAATGTTATCTCTTTTTATTTCACAATGGAAAAAGAAATGATGGGAAGCGAAGAGCCAGTTCAAAATGGAGTTCAGAGAAGGAAATCAAACCTGAAAATAAGAGGTACAAAACAAAAAAGAAAATGCAATCAAACAGTTCCAGAGACTTTGATATTTGGTATGATCACTTTGGTTGGGAATTCAAGTGGCCCGATTAAAATAAATGAGATTGCTCCTTATCTGACCAACTGGGTGAAATTTCTATCTCAAGGAGTTAAAGTGGGGAACTTCAGGCCATGGGTGGCAGTACCAGAGCCAACGCTGAAAAAGAAGCCAGGGAGACCAGAGGACCAAGACTTTAAGAACACCCTAAGATTTCTAAATGTTTAAAACCTCTCTTATGTCCTTCACAGTGGCTTTTTTGTTATCCCTATAATGTGAGAAAGTGATCTTAGGGGCAGCTCCAATATTTCTATAGCAATGACTTAGAACAATTTAATTGGAAGGTAATGGGACAGGAGTTCCAGAGATCTATGTTTGAAAATTAACTTACACTTTTGTCAGAGCAATGAAGGAACAGCTAACACTGTTGTGACTGAGACTGTCATCTGGAGTGGAAAAGGAAGGCTGATGGAGATCACAGGGGGCCAGATCTGCTGCAGACACCACCCTCAGCCCCAACTTCCATCTCTGTAACACCACTGCTCACCATTGCTCACCAGTTGGACTCAAAATAAGAAGAAAGGAGCTATATGCTTGTCTGGTGGGGACAGGAAGAGAGAGCCAGCAGAGAGCAGAAGCCCAGGGATGGAGTGGGAGGGGCAGTCACTAAGACACCAAGTGCTGGGAGACTCTGCCACGGAAGAAAAGGAGATGCAGGGATGAAACTGGGCAAGTATGTCGTAGCCCTGGGCTTGGTGTTGGGTAGGACCTGAGGTTCTTCTTCAGCTGAGCTACAGATGAGCAGTTGAGTAGCCTTTGTTTGCCCTTTTTGATTTTCATCAGAAACCTCACAAAAGTTTTTTATTTTATTTTATTTTATTTTTTGCGGTACGTGGGCCTCTCACTGTTGTAGCCTCTCCCGTTGCGGAGCCCAGGCTCCGGACGCGCAGGCTCAGCAGCCGTGCCTGGATCGCGGCACAAACCCGTGTCCCCTGAATCGGCAGGCGGACTCTCAACCACTGTGCCACCAGGGAAGCCCTCACAAAAGTTTTTTATGGGTGTGTGAGGAAGGAGGGGATTTGTGTGGTGAGTGGTGGGAAAATGGAAAATGCACTTGGAACTGGTCATTGTTTGGTGATTTGCTTCAGCATCACAATCGGCAAATCCTATAAATATGTGCACTCTTAGTTGTTTTTTTTTCAATTTAGAAAGATTAGGATCCTAGAGTTTCAGACCTGTTTGGCTTGTGAATGTTTGTTTCTGATCAATGAGAAATGTAAAATAACCAAGTAATTAAAAGCATAAGTTCTGGATCCAAATCATTATTCTATCAATACAAGTTACTGGCTGTAAGACTTTAACTAGTCTAGTTATCTATAAAATAGGGATACTAATGGTACTGTCATGAGGACTGTGGTTGGCAGAATAATGGTCCTCAAAAGATGTCCACGGGACTTCCCTGGTGGTCCAGTGGGTAAGACTCTGTGCTCCCAATGCAGGGGGCCGCGGTTCGATCCCTGGTCAGGGAACAAGATCCTGCATGCATGCTGCAACTAAGAGTTAGCATGCTGCAACTAAAAGATCCCGCATGCCACAACAAAGATCCTGGGTGCCACGACTAAGACCCAGTGCGGCCAAAATAAATAAATAAATTAAAAAAAAAAAAAAAAAAAGATGTCCAGAACCTGTGAATATGTTACCTCACATAGTAAAAAGGGCTTTACAAACGCCATTACCGTTATGGACCTTGAGATAGGGAGATTCCGGCTATGAAGATGGAGGAAGGGCATGACTAATCAAGGAATGCTGTAAAGCTGGGAATGGCCCTTGCTTTACAGCCAGCACAGACCCTGGTCCTTCAACCACAAGGAACTAAATTCTATCAGCAACCCAAATTTTCCCCTACATCCTCCAGAAAGGAACACAGCTTGCCAACACTTTAATTTTAGTCTGATGAGACTAGTGTCAGACTTCGGATCTACAAAAACTGTAAAATAATAAATTTGTGTTATTTAAGCCACTGCTTTGTTTGGTTATTTGTAATAGCAACAAGAGAAAACTATTACAGGTAAATGACATAATACGCATACAGCCATGAATGGCATGCAGTAGGCAAAATAATCAGTATTAGGCATTGAAGCTCTGTTTGCATTGCACCTACCATCAGATTGTCCAGATTGTAGTAATGGAGATTATCAAGAAGGGGGTTAAAGCCTGTTTAAGGTGCTTCTTGGTCCCCTCATTACTAATGATGCTATCTGTAAATGAAATTCTCTGTCCTTGGAAACAGCTTAAAGGGAAAAAGGATTTAAGGAGAAATCACCAACCAAGTGAATGGAACCAAGTGAATGGAACCTCTTAGCTTTGGCTGCCTGAGCCACTGCGTTTTAGATGTCTCCAGTTCCGTTTCAGAGGATAATTCAAAGTCTCTGGTAATCCCACACACCATAACCATACCGTGTGTGTGTATTTGTGTGTGCAAGCACTCGCACATGTGCAACTTTTTACATATATTTTATTTATAATTATTTTACTATTGATTACTAATAAATAACTATATATGTATATATGATTTATATCTAATAAATACAAATGTGAATTATATAATTATATGATATATACGATATTATATATATGCTTCATAGTTATATGATATTATATGGTTCTTTGGAGATATATATATATCATATTAGCATGCAACTTGGGTCAGCTTTGATGTCTTGTCTTTCAGGGAACAAAGTTACTGGGAGGGAAAGTCTATATAGGGGCCACCTGCAATTAATTCTGAATTAGTAGAAAGAGAGGGAATATACAGATTCCCAATCATCACCCCAGAGATTCCAATCCACTAGTAGATCCGAGGTGAGCCCCAGGAAGCTACACATGTAATAAGCTCTTCAAGTAAAGTCTGGTTTTAGGACCACTAGACAGTAACTTCAAGGGCTCTCAGGGTGGTACTGTGATAATACTTTGTTGATGATGACACTGTGAAATTTCTGATCTCCAGAAATTTAATTGGGGAATAAGGAGGTCTGGTTAATTAGCTATTCTTCATGCTGGAGTAGGGGGATTTACAATTATTTGCCAACTGAGAGAAAAACTGAAGATTAAATAGGGAAAGTGGCTTGGGTCACATACCCACTAAGTATCAGAGTGGGAACTAAACGCTGTGTTGATATGACTCATTAATTCATTCAACAAAGTTCCTACTATATCTCATGTCATGTACTTTAAAATTTCAAATTACATAATTATACATGAAATATTTTCCTTACAAAATGTATAATAATATAAATAAAAGAAAAATACTCTTTTACCCCACCTCTCCAATCTCACATTCCTCCTCAAAGGTCAGCCTTTTGGTGTTTGTTCTTCAAGAAAATATTCTATGAGTTACATAAAACACACACAAATCAAATAGCACTTAGGTTTAAGTCTTTTTTTTTTTTTAGGTTTAAGTCTTTTTAAAAAAAGAATGAGATTTCACAATTTCCTTTGTCACTTAACAAGTCAGTATATAACAATCACATTATGCTAACTGATGCATAATGTGTTGTACGTACCATGATGTATTTGAATCTATTTGGCCATTCCGTTGAATGACATTTAGGTTCTTCCCACAATTCTTGCTATAACATGCACAAAAATGCCTCAGATATCCTTACATGTGACTCTGTATGCATGATCTGATTTCTCTAAGATGGTTAGACATGTAATTGTAAGTTGAAAGGGATGGATGCTCTGCCACTTTCTACAGTCTTTTGTAGCTGCATGAAGTTCGGGAGAAAATAATATCCCTTAATTCACAACTCTAGGTTCAACAAGTTGCAGATCCTGAAAAGTATTTTACCTAGATGTTGATGTGGGTTGTGATGCCTCTTAGATGAGTTTTGAGGTGTTTCTGAATCATGGCAATGTCCAGGAGAGCTCCCTATCTCTTTGTTACTGGTGTCTTATTTGACTTTTCAATGATTTTTAAAATTTTATTTTAAAACTGTTTTTTTAAAAAAACAAAACAAAAAAAACTGTTTTTACCTTGGCAGTGTCCTTTAGTCAGCAGCAATTCTAGTTGACAGTCCTGATTTTGAAGCTTAAAAGAATATATACACACACACATATATATATATATATATATATATATATATATATATGGAAAAGGATGTGTGGTTTCTCCCCTGGACGAAGCTGTCCCAGATTTTTGCTGCTTTAGCAGTGTAGGGGAAATGAAAGGTGCCCACAGTCCCATATGAATGAGCCCTGCCAGGAGCATAGGGCACACAGTGAATGAGTATCAAGGGGCAAGAACCAGCCAGTGGAGCCTGTCAGAAGTCCAAGCTGCAGAGTGATGGGGCGATGGTAACTGGAATTGCCTGGTGTTTCCCAACCCTGTGTTTCATTCCCCACAGGTCACCAGGACCTTGGTTTTTACTGTCTTCACTGCCGTGCTGGGTTCCTTCCAGTTTGGATATGACATTGGCGTGATCAATGCACCTCAACAGGCAAGTGAGACATGCCCAAGTTCTCTTTTTGGTAATTTCTAACAGTGACAGAAAGGTATCTGCTCCACATCCAGAGAGATAAGGTGTGTCCACGCAGGGAACACGGGATAATCCTGGTCTTCTGTCAGGTTCCACATGTGTGGTTCCAAGGCTGATAACTTGGCCTTGACTCCTCACTTTAAAACCCTCACAGAAAAAGAAAAGAGTAATAAATAATCCTTGATCTCTGATTCAGCTATTCGCTGAGCTCACAGAAAACTCCAGCTAGAATACCACGTGCCTAAGGATTTTTTAAAAAAAATTTAAGAGCTGATTGAAGCATACATTCAGAGCTTCCAGACGCACAGATGAAAATGCCAGGGAATAAGAGGAAACAATGGAAGGATAAGGTTGTTTCAGTGCACAAACATGTATTGAGCACCAACTCACTGTGTGTCAGGCACTAACATATGCTCTCCCCCATTTGACTCACCCAACAACCTTATTATGCCCATTTCTTGTCCAGATTAAAACATTTTGGAACCCTGCAGGGGTGGGGAGTAGGCAGGGGAGGGGATGGAATTGGAAGAAGGAGATCAAAGGTACAAACTTCCAGGTATAGGATAAATAAGCACTAGGGATGTAAGGTACAACATGGTAAATATAATTAACACTGCTGTATGTTATATATGAAAGTTTTGAGACAGTGAATCCTGAGTTCTCATCACAAGAAAAGAAAACGACAAGCAAAAACATTTAGGAGCCCTAAGACTAACAAGATTCTAGTCCTTCCCCCTACTCCTGTGTCCCATAGGTGATCCAAAGTAAAATAATACAGAACCTTTAAATAATAGTCAACAAGGCCAACAACGTTTGGGTTTTCTCCATGTTGACTATTTGAATGGGTATTTTTTTAAAATATTGAATAATTTCTATCATTCTTCTCATTTACTTTGTGCATCCCTACTCTGGTTTCCAGTGAATAGACAGGAGAAGGATGTCATTTTTCTCAGATCCCACAGCCTGTAAGTGGGGAAACCAGGACTTCGTTCCCTCTGCTCTGAATCAGACTGTCAGGTCGTTTAGGGTGGGATTGATGTCTTATTCTTCTTCCTAGCACCAGTGCCAAGCACAATGATTGATGCAAACAAAAAAGCGTTTAGTGAATGAAGAAGAGAGAGAAAGAGACAGAGAGAGAGAGAGAGAAGAGAAGCTAGGGGACGGGGTGGCATAAGGTGATGGTACAAGCATTTGTTCGGTGCCTTCTATGAATCCATCATATTTCATCTGCTTCTCTTATGACACTGGACTCCAAGGAAAATGTAAGAGACTACAGGGTGTGAACGTGTGAAATGTGTACTTGCCACAGTCCATCTGCTGAAAAGCGTTGCTCCTTGAACTAAAAGATGTGCTCTGGTTAGGTACCACATAGCATCATGAGTGTGGCAGCCCTTCCCAAGGCTGAGAGACTTGGGGAATAACTCTGGGGGCCATATTGTTTTTTCTGTGGGTGATGACAACACATGCTAATTTAACAGGATTCTTGAAATTTGGAATTGGTAGAACCTTTTCTCTTCTTGTGGGAGAAGTTTTCAAATCCTTATTTAAAGCATCCTCTTCAGTCTTGGAGGGAAAATTAATCTAAGGTTTCCCCTCCTCCAATCCAAGTCCTAGAGCCAAACCTAAACACAGAGATCCCCCACCGGCATCCGGCTTAGTGCGCTCTCTATAACCCCTTCCTTCTGTATGGAAAGAGCTGCTTAAACACTATTACGTAAGAAGAGTCATTCAGGCCCATTTGTTTTTATTAGCAGAATGACATTTGGAATTGTTTTAGGGTATTTTAAAGTCACACTTCTTTTTACGAATATGAAAACTATGCATGCCTGTTGCAGAAAGTTTTAGAAGAAAAAAATTCATGATTATTCATGTAGAGCTAACTGCTGAGAACATTTGGGATATTTCCTTTCAGCCTTTCTTCTGTGTATATTATCCATATAGAGTGGCCTTCCATGAGGTAAATGTCTGCATCAGACTTCTTTTATTGTAAGAGGATATCATTCTCTCCCTCATCAGCTGATTTTACCACATAGGACTTTGCCCAGGACTGGCAACCTAGGGCAGCTGCGTTCCAGGTCCTTGTCAGAGGTCCTCCCAGCTCATCGCTGCTGAATAGTGACCAACTCATCCAGAGGAATGACACAGACGGAAGAGAGCCTGAAGGATGTGCCTTTACTCGATTATACTTTTGTTTGATCTTTACCTCTACTGAAACACATTATAAAATATGGCACTGTGAAATCTAGTTTTGAAATTGTTTATTCTGTTACATACTGAACTCTGTGAGGACCCGTACAAGAAACTTCCTTCAGGTCTCAATACCTTCTCAGGTACTACTGAGTTGTTTTTGATCTTCAGAATTCACCAGTATATATGACTGTTTTCCTCTCTTTTCACTGGCTGCTAGGAAGCTTATTAATAAATTTAGCACTCACCTAAAGCAAGGATACAGCACCTAGTGTTTGAATTTGTATACCAACTTTATTTTGGGCCTCATCTTTCCCAATCTTTATTCTTATACCTACTTTTATGTTTCTATTAAAATATTTACAGAAGCCAATTAAAATCCTGCTACGCAGGGGTAACAGTGGAGTGAAAATATATCTTTTCAACCTGCAGGATATTTTCAATTTGGATAGTTGCCAACCTTTAAAACTTGAAGAATTTTACATAAAAATCCAGATTTCTGGCTTCTCGTTAAAAATGAAAGGTCATAAATAGACATTTCTCCAAAGAAGATATACAGATTGCCAACAAATACATGAAAGGATGCTCAACATCACTAATCATTAGAGAAATGCAAATCAAAACTACAGTGAGGTATCACCTCACACCGGTCAGAATGGCCATCATCAAAAAATCTACAAACAATAAATGCTGGAGAGGGTGTGGAGAAAAGGGAACCCTCTTGCACTGTTGGTGGAAATGTAAATTGATACAGCCACTATGGAGAACAGTATGGAGGGTCCTTAAAAAACTAAAAATAGAACTACCATATGACCCAGCAATCCCACTACTGGGCATATACCCTGAGAAAACCATAATTCAAAAAGATACATGTACCACAATGTTCACTGCAGCACTATTTACAATAGCCAGGACATGGAAGCAACCCAAGTGTCCATCAACAGATAAATGGATAAAGAAGATGTGGCACATATATACAATGGAATATTACTCAGCCATAAAAAGAAACAAAATTGAGTTATTTGTAGTGAGGTGGATGGACCTAGAGACTGGCATACAGAGTGAAGTAAGTCAGAAAGAGAAAAACAAATACCATATGCTAACACATATATATGGAATCTAAAAAAAAAAAAAAAAGGTTCTGATGAACCTAGGGGCAGGACAAGAATAAAGACTCAGACGTAGAGAATGGACTTGAGGACATGGAGGGGGGAAAGGTAAGCTGGGACGAAGTAAGAGAGTGGCATGGACATATATTCACTACCAAATGTAAAATAGATAGCTAGTGGGAAGCAGCCTCATAGCACAGGGAGATCAGCTCGGTGCTTTGTGACCACCTAGAGGGTGGGAGGGAGGCGCAAGAGGGAGGGGATACGGGGATATATGTATACATATAGCTGATTCACTTTGTTATACAGCAGAAACTAACACACCATTGCAAAGCAATTATACTCCAACAAAGATGTTAAAAAAAAAATTAAAGGTCATGCAACACTAGTCTCACATTGCAACTTCCTCCTTTAGATGGGACCAATAAATTCTGCCAACTCACTATTACATTCTCCAAATTACAGACAGCATTTCAGTCCTCTAGTCATCAAGATTCTTCTTGCCTCCTTCACTTGTTTGTTCCTGTCTGGTTCCTGTTGGCACTGGAATTTGTGACCTCTGTTTTATAGGATATGGTCAACTGAGACAACTATATGCGTTAGTATGTGCCTAACACACATAATTGAGATAATCCTGTTTAAACACCTAACAAATATTTTAAAGGAAAAACAAACAAAAAATATACAGAATGTTTGAAATATTGGAGCTATTTTTCTTTATTTTATCTCCTTAGGTAATAATAACCCATTATAGACATGTTTTGGGTGTTCCGCTTGATGACCGAAAAGCTATCAACAGCTATGCTATCAACAGTACAGAGGAACTACCCGCAAGCCCATTTCTAGGGGTCCCAACACCAACCCCTTGGGCTGAGGAAGAGCCTGTGGCATCTGCTAGCCTCATCACCATGTTCTGGTCCCTGTCTGTGTCCAGCTTTCCAGTTGGTGGAATGATTGCCTCATTCTTTGGTGGGTTGCTTGGAGACCAGCTTGGAAGGTAGGCAAATTTCATAAACAAGCAGAAACACAGAAACTTCAGTATTTTGGGTGTCATAATTTGTTTAGAAAGAAATCATCTTTCCTTTTGTGGAATAGTTTCAGAGTTGTTTTTTCAACTCACGACCCTATGAGTTAGGTTGGTATTGGACAAAATAATGGAAAAATCTGTTGCAACCATTGGCTTAATAGTGGAGGCATTTGCAGCAAAAGTGAGTTTGGTGTGTATTTCTAGATAATCACTCTGATTCTCTGACTTTGTAACTTGTAAAACATATTGAGAAACCACCGCACAAATGGTTTACTCAGGAACTCAGTGGGGAGTCAAGCGTGGAATTTTTAACCTGGGAGTCGATTGCTGGCTTCATCAAATTGCTCCATTTCTCAGACATCCAGGTTTTCATTTTCAGATTAGAATTTGACATTTGGATCAGTCAGGTCCTAAGGTCCAGTCAATACCCCCGCTCCCAGTTGCCCAATATACTTGGCGTGGGGTTTCTAGCTGCTGCTCCTTTTATCTCAAAGCCCCAACAAAGGGCTGAAGCAAGTGGTGTCTCCATTTCTCTACTCTGGTTTCTATTATGTGTTTTGGATTAAAAACATCAGTGGAACTCCTTTACACTCAAATTTCATTTAGTCATGTGATGTACTAAAGCTCTTGGATCCCCCCCACCCCCACAGAGAGGAAGTAAAACAGAAAATAAAACAGTTATTTCTTTAGATTTATTTTCTGCTCTTTGCATCCATCTTTTATCACTTTTTATCTCATGATAAAAACATGCAAATATGGAAAATTTAGAAAATGCAAAACCTTTGAAGTTCTAAATGATATAGGCAATTATCTTAGTAATACTGGATTACAATTCATTTAACTATTTTTTAAAATATTTATTTTTTGGCTGCGTTGGGTCTTAGTTGCGGCACACAGGATCTTTGCTGAGGCATGTAGGATCTTTTTTGTTACGGCACGCAATCTGCTCAGGTTTCTCTCTAGTTGTGGCGTGCGGCTTTTCTCTCTCTCGTTGAGGTGCGCGAGCTCAGTAGTTGTGGCGCGTGGGCTTAGTTGCCCTGCAGCACGTGGGATCTTAGTTTCCCGACCAGGGATCTAACCCACGTCCCCTGTATTGGAAGGCGGATTCTTTACCACTGGACCACCAGGGAAGTCCCTCATTTAATTAGTAAAATCCCTACTTTTTGTTTTCTTGGCCACGCCACATGGCATGCAGGAATCTTAATTCCCTGACCGGGGGTCGAACCCGCACCCACTGCAGTGGAAGTGCAGAGTCTTAACCACTGGACCACCAGGGAAGTCCTAAAATTCCTACTTTAAATTATAATTTTCCCTCTTTGGTTATTAAATTCTGATAAGTTCTTCCTCTTGTACTGGAGCTTTTATATAGTAAGACTGTAAGAATTTCTCTTAAGTAATGGGTAGCATGGTAATGCAAGTTTTATTCTTACTCTTATTTGAGAGGGACTTCCTCTACCATAAAAGAAAATGGTCAGTTCTTCAAATTTTTATCAATTTACTGGTGTTTAGCTGATCTTTAAATCAGTATCCATAAATTATGCAGGTCATTAACTGGCTTTAATTATTTAAAAAATTTAAAAATCATTTCAATTTGCACCAAGTTGGTTTAAGCAATAGTTGGAAATTTTTCTAGATTAATTATGTCTAAAATAAATAAAATTAAGCAAAGCTAAGTTAAATATTTAAATATGGATAGACCAACTCTTTTAGCAGCTTTTGACATTTTATACTTCTTCTCATCACTGAGGAAAAAATTTAAGCCCTTGTCCCTCAATTAGAGAAGAGATTCTAACAATCCAGTGACTTACTCTAAAACATTTAATTAGTGTCCCGGTGATGGAATCAGAATGCTTGTCTTCTCAAGTCTTAGGATTTAGGGGCGTCCCTGGTGGTCTAGTGGGTAAGACTCTGTGCTGCCAAAGCAGAGGGTCCAGGTTCAATCCCTGGTGGGGGAACTAGATCCCACATGCATGCCACAACTAAGAGCCCGAATGCCTCAACTACAGATCCCGCATGCCGCAACTAAAACATGCCACAACGAAGATCCTGCATGCTGCAACTAAGATGAAGCACAGCCAAAAACAAAAACAAAGGTCTTAGGATTTAGCATCAACAATGTCAAACGACCAAAACAATGTCAAGTGACCATTTATCAAATTATTTATTGTGAACTAAAAGTGAGGCTTCCTCCAACTCTCAGTAGAAAAATGATCCTGCTTGAAAATAGCCCTAAAACTAATCATTTTAACTTCAAAATTAAGACAAAGTAGTTCAGTCTCTCTCACAAAACTATTTTTCTAGGGAGATTCACTGAGAACTAACATGATGGTCCTTATTGCCAGGGTCATTGCTTTACTAGTTAAAAGGAAATAAAAGTGTACTTTTCCGTTACTGCTTTAAAAAACATCTTTCCTTGTAATTGTGTTAATAGTCAATAGATGTCTATAGCCACTATTTTGTAGATTTGGGTTCTCAAAGTGAAATTTTACTTAAAATTTAAGTACCAGGGTAAGGTAGGGGAGACCATGATCTGGGCAATCCACACTACCATGAGTGAAGGAAGGTATACACAGCTTGCCTTTGAATATGTTCTTTCTTTTGTATCAAAAATGGAACTCACCAAAATAAAGCATTAACCTTTGGTTTCACACAGATCAAATCCCAGCTCTGTCACTCAATAGCTATGTGAAAATGAGCAAGTTACCTCAGTTCTCTAAGACGTTTCCCTCCATCTGCAATGTGGGGAAAAAAATACCTCCCTCGTGGCATTATTGTAAGGATTAAATTAAAATGAATATAAAAGGTTTAGTACACTGCTTGGCACAAAGTGAGCAGGCAGCAAGTGTAGAAGATGATGATGATGAAGAAGCCTATGCCTACAGAAGTATTTAGAGCAAGATTTAAAGAAATATACTTAGACATATATTTCTTTCTCCCTGATTCAACCATTTCGTGTATTTTTAGATTATTTATTCTTGGCCATTTCTCACGTCTGAGCAGAAGGTGTATAGAGTGCTCCAGCATCCACTGGTGGTAAGGAAGAGGGACTTTAGAACAATCCGGCATTAAAAATACTTTCAGGCTATCTATCTCTTTTACGACTTTTTATCTTTTCCCCGCCTAATGGAATATACTATTAGCTAGCTAGTAACAGTTTCCTAGGGTAAATTATTGAATTTGCCTGCCCTCTGTCCTTGTGTAGAGAAAAAGCACTTCACAGAAGAACACCCTGTCTTTTTCTACTATGCAGTTCTGAAGCTGGTCAGCTCTAAAGCACTCTATTTACCTGTCTTTGGGTAGTTGATAACTTGCATATACTAGCTTGCCGTTACTGCTCTAATGAATTACTACAAACTTAATGGCTTAAAACAACACAAATTTGTTTTCTTACCGTTTTGGAGACCCAAATTCAGTTTCAGTTGGCTGAAGTCACAGTGTCAGCGGGGCTCATTCTTTCTGGAGGCTCTGAGGAAGAGTCCATTTCCTTTCCCTTTCCCAGCTTCTGGTAGCCACTTCTGTTCCTTGGTTTGTGGCCCCCTCCTCCATCTTCAGAGCACATCACTACAAGCTTTATTTCTTTCATCACATCACCTTCTCTTCTGCCTTCCTAGTATAAGGATAGTCGTGATTACATCATTGGGCCCGACTGGATAATCTCTTCAATTCAAAATCCTTAATTTAATCAATCTGCAAAATCCCTTTGCCATATAAAGTAACATATTCCCAGGGTCTGAAGATTAGGGTGTGGACCCTTGTGGGGTACTATCCAGTCCATCACATGGTTTTTTGGGCAATCATTGCAGTATGAGATGATATAGTTTTATTTTCCAGAAAAAAAAAATCTGTTTGGTGTTTAAGATACTTGCTTAGAAAAAGCTAACCTATTAAAGTTTGAAACACTGACATAGAGCATAACAAGATACTTACATTTCTTTGTGGGACAAAAATTTTCACACCTGTTCACTCAAATTCTTTTATTGGCCTTAGCATCGACTGAACTTTGAAGAAGGTTTTTGTGTACCTCACTTTCCCATTTAACAGGAGGAAGAGTATCAGATACCTGCAAATGTCAATTTTCATATGATTAATTTTGAAAATGATGTTTTTGTTGCTATTGTCAGCTTTATTACATATTTTACATTGGTTGATATTAACTCATAGATTCTGGAAATATGCTGGCATACAATGACAAAATACGGATAAGTATAGTTCTCTATGATAAGGCTTAAAGTAAAAGCATGTTTTAATTTACTTCCAAATAATTCATACTACAGAAAACTTAACTTTGAAAGTTCCTTTCATGATCTATATCAACTAAAAACTTGTACCATTGAAAGAAAAGAAAAGGGGTGTCATAAGTTACAACTCCAGAATTAAATTTAGCTATCACCAGGCAATTATTCTTTAAAACAATCAACTTCTAGAAAACTTAATTGTTAACTATTTGAAAAGGTGTCAGAAGTGTTATCTTAAAGCAAACCAGTCATCATCACAATTGAATCATCTCTATCAAAATGTGGAGATCAGGTACCTGCAACCCCAATTCTCCCATTATATATATATTACGTGTTGTTAATGCTTTAACCCACAGACAGATCAAAGTAGCAATCATGGTTTAAGATTCCCCAACTAGCTCCATCAGCAAAATTAAAATATTCAGTCTTAGGTAAAAATCTCAGCATGCTCTGAAAGCAAATAATTTTATCAAGTTTTGATGCTAAATTTATAATCCTTGCTTTTCAAATTTTCAGAATCAAAGCCATGTTGGTAGCAAACATTCTCTCAATAGCTGGAGCTCTCTTGATGGGGTTTTCGAAATTGGGACCATCTCACATTCTTATAATTTCAGGAAGAGGCATATCAGGACTCTACTGTGGTAAGTCATGCACACGCACACGCACACACACGCACACTCCCACACAAACACATACACACATCTGAAAATTATTCTGAAGGCAGATGTGGTTACATGTAGAGAATTTTTTTGAGCCTCGAGTGACATCATGAAAGGGAAAGGCAGTAGCATAAAGTTGCAGTCCTGAGTCAGGGAGGTTTGGGACCAGTAAGTGGAGTTGTAAGGGTATGTTCTTATCCACAGCGATGACAACATTTCTAGTCGTATGATCTAAGACAAATTATTTAACTTTGTTTCCTTATCCAGTAAGTGAGAAGGATAACAGTATCTACCTCCTGGAGATGCTTGTGAGAATAAGTGTTCGGCATAGAATGTGACTACAGCAAGCTGCCAAGTGTGCTAGCTGTTATCATTACTCCCGTTGTTCAGTAGACAGCGGAAGACTGCTATGCCCAGACCCCTAACTCTACCCTTATGGCCTACCTGGCCACGGGTGTCTCTGTCTCTCCTATCTGGAAAGACCCTGACATCCTGGCCCATCTCTCAGACCACATTCCCTAGCCCTAAATGCTTCCACATGTAGCTGGTTGAAAGGTTAAAGTGGTGCTGACCATATAGGGAGAGGGAATCAGGCAGAATCAGTTGGTAGAGGAGTTCAGAATGGAGGAAGGGTGCTCCTCCTAAGAACTTCACATCTAAACAGCTGAATCACTATTTCTTGGAGACAGCTTTTCAAACTACCTGAAGCGACTTATCAGCAGAAAGGGAGGATCGTGCATTCTCTAAAATAGTCAAATCTTTTGCTTCTCAATCCCAGTGACACCCATTGTCCCAAATCATAGCCACTAACAATATCCATTGGGGGTGGGAGAGGAAAGGTGAGGGCACAAAACGGTATATAAAATATTTTTAACACTTTTACCTGCAAAGAGGAAAAGACTATAATTCCATGAGTCTTCAATGATCAGTTGAAACAAAAGTCTAAGATTACTTGTCTCTTTTTGTTATTTTCAATGCTAATAAAAATAACTGAAAGGGTAGCTTGATCAAGGTCAAGAGTCACCCCACTTGCGGAAGCAGCTTTGGATTCAGAGTGAATCGATTCTGGCACTGTCTTTGTCTGGCCTTAGTAACTGAATGTGAGACTCAGTTTCCTCTTCTGTAAAATGCAAATAATAACACAATCAAAGAAGTCCAAATCATGATTCTTCTATCTTTTCTCTCTATTTTTTAAAATATAGCAAGAAAAAAATTACAAAGTATTTTGGTAAAGTTGAAGATAAATGCTGTAAACATAACATGGAACAACCTATCACTAGCATAGCCAAGTAACTTGTACTCTCCAACCACCTTTCAAAATTATGTCAGATCCTATTATGAGCATTAAAATTGCTAAAAATTATAGGAAATACAATTTGACTTCAGGTTCATGTGACTTCAGACCTGTGAGCTTATCTGCATTTTCTGTTCTTGGGGTATAATGTTAGGCATTACACAAAAATAGTACAGCCTAGAATAGGACCAAACAAATGGGTTTTTTTCCTCTTCTTCTTTAAGATCAACAGACCACTCATTAGAGTTACATGTAAAAGCAGAAATTCAGATGCTGTATCAATCATGCAAATGTTCATGTGATATTAAGAACAGTCTGAAGCATTAAAAAATATTGAAAAAAAATATTGAAACAATTCCTCAAAGCATCTTTCATACATTTGATAGGCAGGCCGTCTCTCTAAGAGGAAGCCTCTGACAAATCTTACTTTTAAATTCTTAAGAAAATGCCAAACATCGCATTCAGCCTTGCTCATTGATAGTCTCTGACCGTTTTATGCACTCAGCAAATGGCTAGATACTCCGCCATTTCCAACATGACTGATTGCATCTGCATCTAGGAAAACTATAGAAGGCAGAATGGCCTAGAGCTTTTCAAATTTCTGTATTCCTTTAAGCACCAGAAGTCTTTATGCAAATAAAATCTTTTCTGAAGCCTATCATTTGGAGAGAATAAAGAAGCTAGGTTTGCTCTGGTTGGAGTGATTGGGGGAAGAGCCTCTGAGTTCCTCAACCCCTTCCACCTTCCCCCTTGGCCTGGCCAACTCAACTGTGACCTTGAGGCACCTCCACAGTGTGGAAACTCAGACAGGGCTTGTAGTTCTCTACTAACACTCTATTGCACTGTGATCTTGGCTAAGTCATTTCTCACCTTTATCAAGTAAAGAAGTTGGCCTCGATAAGTTCTAATTTCCTTTAATCCCACAAATCTATAGTGAGAATATTATTGTGTTTTTAAGAATATTGTTAAAGCATTCTTCAGTCTCTTTTCTGAAGATAACCTAAGGCATTGTGATACAAACTCAATATTAACATGGATTTTTTTAACTAAATAAGACAATGCTATGAATAATTGCCAAATGCATGACTAACCATTCCTTTCTATTTGTATATCCAACTACAACTTCATTTGGAGTCGCATCAACAAACATTCTTTGCGTAAACTGTGTGTAATTGTTGGTGACAAGGGCTCTTCCTTCCAATGAACTCAGGAAGGGAGTTTCAGCAGAATATTGACTGTACTTAAACAGAATTATTGTTATTGAGATAGTCCTGGCTACACTTTAACATTTATGTTCATGTTTCATTCAGGGTTAATTTCAGGCTTGGTTCCAATGTACATTGGTGAAATTGCTCCAACCACGCTCAGGGGCGCTATTGGCGCCCTTCATCAGCTGGCCATTGTCACAGGCATTCTTATTAGTCAGGTAAAAACTCCCATCCCCTACCTCACCCATCCTCTACTTTACCCAACTTCTCCTTCTCTGATTGTCCACTCTCATTGTAGAACGACACAGAGGAAAAAGGCAGTTCCACAGGTGGTAGTGGAGGTGGTATAGAGACATAGGATTTTTAGCTCAAAGCTAAAGTACTACTACTCCACTCTTCACTTTTCCCCTTGGAGTTGTGGTGGGGTTGGCACTGGAGGTGACCTGGTAAGCCAAGTCTTGAACTGCTGGAGCTATTCTAGAATTAAATTACTCCATTTAGATTTCAAGGAATAAAAAATTTCAAAATTTTGCCTACCCAGGTTTCCTTTGTTCTGAGCATCTTACCTGCTCAAATTTAATATGCAGATGCTTACAATAGTAGTTCTTGTTCAGCTGGCTCTATTCTTTCCTTCTGTCCTACATTCTCAGAGGGAATCCTAGAACCTCAAACCTATGGCTTTCCAGAGGATAAACTACTTGCAGTCAGGATCACAAAACTAGTTCTCCTCAGAGTAATTGTTTTATCTATGTAACCCCATTCTATTTAAGTTCTGGGTAATCTAAAAAGAAATTTTTTTTTTTTTTTTTTTTGCGTTACGCTGGCCTCTCCCTGTTGTGGCCTCTCCCGTTGCGGAGCACAGGCTCCGGACGCGCAGGCTCGGCGGCCATGGCTCACGGGCCCAGCCACTCCACGGCATGTGGGATCCTCCCGGACCGGGGCACGAACCCGTGCCCCCTGCATCGGCAGGCGGACTCTCAACCACTGCGCCACCAGGGAAGCCCTAAGAAGAAATTTTTTTAACAAAGGTCCAAAGATGCATGATTTTTGCTGTTGTTTTAGATATCAAATGTGTGCTTAAAAGTTTGGTTGATTCGCATCCTAAATGTCCCATAGGAGTTAATGAAAACAAATCTAGGTGAATTCTTTGTAGAACAAAGAGTCTATAATTCAGTTCAGATGAGACACACTAGCAGTAGTTTTCATCTTGTGCATACGTGAGTCACAGCTGTCAGGGATTACTATCAAATAGCCAATGTGCTTTTTCAACAAACTGTTCCAGAAGGCAGATCCAGAGTGATGTGCGGTTGACATGCTTCCTCCCTGACTTTTCAGATCGTTGGCCTCGACTTTATCCTGGGCAATCATGAGCTGTGGCACATCCTGCTTGGTCTGTCTGCTGTGCCAGCTGTTTTCCAATCTCTGCTGCTCTTCTTCTGTCCAGAAAGCCCCAGATACCTTTACATCAAGTTGGATGAGGAAGCCAAAGCAAAGAAAAGTAAGTCTATGGGTGGTTTTACTTTCTTCCTATTGTTTTGGAACCATCAGCTAATGAGAAAGAGTGTGCATGAATGGATACTCATGAAATTGATACCAGCGCTTTCCAAATGAAGTCAGTGATTATATGTAAGAAGAATATGCAAGATCACTTAATATGACTGGTGTATGCCATTTTGCAACCATAAACATTCACACAAACCCAAACAGAAAATCCACATACAGAGACTTCTAAAAGACCTTTCCTGCATTATCCTTCTATGATAATGAGGATCACAGTTTTGTTTGTCATAAGATGAAGCGAAATGTTCTGCTTTTTTGAGAAATAAAAAAGCAGGATTTAATTTAACAAGAAAGAATTTCCAACACCCATGCTATTAAGTAACAGAAAGGGCTATGCAGAACTGTAGCTCTTTCATTAACATAATACAAATAAATTTATTTTTGTTTTGACCTGAGTTGTGTCAACCTGATCGTTTTGGGGGACAGGCTTGAAAAGACTCAGAGGAAGTGATGATGTCACCAATGACATCACTGAGATGAGAAAAGAAAGGGAAGAAGCATCAAGTGAAAAGAAAGTCTCCATAGTTCAGCTCTTCACCAATTCCAGCTACCGACAGCCTATTCTAGTGGCATTGATGCTGCACATGGCTCAGCAATTTTCTGGAATCAATGGGGTAAGTTTAAGAACGTCCCCTAACTCTTAAGAGCAAAGTGAATTAAGATAGATGAGGAAAGGGGTTTAAGTTTAAATAACTAAAGGATACTTTAAAATGTTGACGTCACATGTCTTACTGCAACAAATATATTGAATGAGCATTAACTTTTTGTCTTGACTCATCTGCTTCTAAAATCAACTTACAGTTTTTTAAAATGTCAATAATCAATGGTCTGCATGTCTATTAAGATGAAGGTTAAAAGGCAAGTCATAATGAATACAAAAGAGGGAAGAGGAGAATAAATATAACTAGAAGACTAAATTAACAAGGGGTTTCCAGAGTTGAGTGTCAAATTTAGGATTTCTGATAGCCTAAGCAAAAGGAGTCCATGATTCCCTCTGTCTATTTAAATGAAGTATACCAGATAGCCTTGTGCAAAGAAGTTTCCTGCCATCCAAGAAACTTTCACTCTATTTGGGGAGATAGCACACAAAATAAACAATAGAGTGAACTGACATGATATTGGTGAGTAAGGGTAATAGAAAAGAAATGACTGAAAAACATTCTGAGTACTAAACTAGCTAGCATTTAGGTTTTGAATTGAAATTCTCGTATTATGCAGACTAAAATTGTTCTACTGACAATTAGCTACTAGAAGAAAAAAATTAAGTATTTGTTAAGAAACTAGATAAAGAAAATCATTTATCCCCTTTCATTGCTGTTAAAAATGTGGTTTGGGCTTTTATAGTGAGCCAATCCTAGATTCACAAAGACACTTTGGGGGTGACTGATGAATGGGCAGAGACTTGGGGCAAGCAAAGAAAGCAAAAGTTGAAGCATGAGTTGAAGCAAAAGAAGACCTGAGCCTCACTCCACAAAGTGAATGCTGCTCTGCTGTGGTCTCCATCCTCCTTTAACAGGTCCCTGATACTCATTTTTTCTCTCTTAACTCTTTATAACTTTGGGGCTCAGAGACCAAATCTGTATCCTCTCTCTCGGCTCTGCTTGTATATCCAAGAGCACAACACTTAATCTCTCTAAACCTCCCTGCTCTAGCTTCCATCCCTGTGCCTGACTTAGAGACACTCAGGAAGTGTCGAACCACACGCTGTCAGGCAGCCTAAAATGGTGGGCTGGTGTGCAGTGAGTAATCCTCTCCTCACTGAACACAGTCTGAACAGTCCTCCTGCGTCAGCCATGTCTGCAGGAAGAGGCACCAGCAGCAGGACATGTTATGTGGGAAAGGAACTGATGGAAGATGATAGAACAAAAAAGATGATGTAAAAGACTATTATAAACATAAGGACATAACCAAATAATAAAGCCTATTAGGGAGGTTGTGAATCAGATTTCTCCATCCACTGAGATTGGTGGAAAATTTTGGGTTACATGCAATGACAACCAGAACTCTATACACACTGGTGAGAGTACAAATCAACACAACTTTTTTTAAAAATTTTTTATTGAGGTATAATTGATTTACAGTGTTGTATTAGTTTCAGGTATACAGCAATCTGTTATACAAATACATATATCCACTCTTTTTTTAGATTCTTTTCCCATATAGGCCATTACAGAGTACTGAGTAGAGTTCCCTGGGCTATACAGTAGGTCTCCATTAGCTATCTATTTTATAAATATATATATATCTATTTTATATATATATATGTGACACAACTTCTTTGGAAAACTGTTTGGCAGTATCTATCAAAGCTGAGAACATGCATACACTACAACCCAGCAATTCTATTCCTAGGTGTAAATGTATACATATTTTACCAAAAGGCTTGTACTAGAATGTTCATAGCAGCACTATTCATAACCACTCTAAATGATAACTACCTAAATACCCATCAATAGTAGAATGAGTAACTAAATTGTGGTATATTAATACAATTATACACTAAACAGCAATGATAATGAACAGCCTGAAAATACAACAATATGGATAATTCTCATAAAAGTAATGTTGATGCCAGATACAAAATACACACAAAATATGTGGTTCCATTTATATCACGTACAAGACTAGGCAAAATTTATCTATAAGGATGGAAGTTGAAAGAGTTTCCTTTGAAAAAAGGGTGACATTCAGGGGGCTTCTGGAGGGCAGGAAATGATTTATTTTTGATCTAGACTTACAGGTGTGTTTAGTTTGTGAAAATTAATTGAGCTGTACACTTAAATGATATGTGTACTTTTTTGCATGTATTTTATACTTTAACAAAAAAATAAAGTGCAGATGTACAGTTTTCAGCTAAATATAAGGAGAACTTTTAAGTGACTGGAAGCTTTACACACTGAAGGAAGATTGTGGTTTCTCCTTCCCTGGAGGAAGAGGGTGGATAAAACCTTTTGGGAGTTCTAGGGACCCTGGTTCCATTGAAACACCTAAAAATAAACAAACTAAAATAATTCTTGCTTTAAAGCCATGAGTGCTAGGCTTCTTGATTAAGGCTAAACTATTATTATTTTGCAGATATTTTACTACTCAACCAGCATTTTTCAGACAGCTGGAATCAGCCAACCTGTTTATGCAACCATTGGAGTTGGTGCTGTCAACACAGTTTTCACTGCTCTCTCCGTAAGTAAAATACTCTACATAAATATTCTGCTTGCTCCTCAGTCCAGAAATGGGAGTAAAATAACCTTGTAATATAAAAGTGACCTATGACTTATTGTCCACGTGTGGTGGGTATGTAGATAGAACCAAGTGGGTCACAGGAAGAGTCCTATATGTGAATAACCAACCACTGTATTGAGATTAGGCATAACTGAACAGGTGATCACTGGTTCTCCTTATCTGCTGAAGATGTCATTTGTCACTCATTTGTGAATCAGTAACTCACTTGGGGGCACAGACACTTGGTATTTTTGTGTAAATAACTGGGCTCTTTCTCCTTTGCTCTGTACTTAAGCCCCTTGATATTAGCAAACAGCTTGTCATTTCTATCAGCATTGGATCCTAGATCCTCTCCTTCCATGGTTGAAAATTTTTATCCTGATATCTTAGAAAAAACATTTTTAAAATAAACATGGTCCTCTCAATTAGATAGCTAAGCCTCTAGCAAAATTAAACTGATTCAGTAAATTCTTATGATGTTAGGCCATTGGGCAGAACTTCCAGGTAGTTCACAAGGCCCTGGCTTCTGGTGTTGTATATGACTGTGATATTATGAGAGGATGGAATAGAAGCGGTTTATAACTTGAAATATTATTGCTATTTTTGAAATGTAACTTTTTCAACTGTCAAATGTTATTATACACTTTTGAAAATTTTTCTCAACAAGGGAAGAGGTCATATACTCTTCTTAAGATCAAATACCTTATCTAAGGAACAATTCAGTATATTGACAGTAATAATATTTAATATAACAATCTAAGAATTAAAGTAAACAAAAAACAACAGCAAAACCCCCCATACTTCCCAACTAACGTAACTCACTTTAAAATGAGGATAACTGAGTTTATCTTTGAATGCAGATGTTAAAAAAGCTTGTGCTTTTTCATTTTGGTCACAGTGCTATATACTCAATATACTTTAGTCACTTGTTTTTCATTCTCTGCACATGGACTTTTAACTATTACCTAGAGTAGTCAATAAATTACAGCCTGGCTACCTAGATCAAAAGGCAGGTTTGTCCAGACCACATTAAACAGAACTGGACCTTGGAAAGAGAAGGAAGAACAGATAATAAGGGAACACCAGTGCTTCCGTAGAAATGCCTTTAGAGGCATTTAAAGGCATTCATGGCCTGTTCAATCCAAAAGGCCACTCTAAACCAATAAAGGCCTGGTACTAGGATGGAATCCAAGGGACTATTCCCATTCTTTTGTCTCCTGGGATAATATTTTTGCAAATCCCACTTCAACATATTTTTTTCATATAGAGACTATGATTAAAACATTTTATGTGTAACAGGATTTGCTATGTAAAGCATCATGTTATCAAGATCAGGGTAACCCAAACTCTAAGAATATCTAACGAGAAAACGACTGCAGAATTCCATTTTTGTCCTCCCCCCCACCAGCCAACCCCATGGAGTGGGAAGAGTTGTTCTGAAAATAGAGCCTTGATTATTTTGAATCTACCTTTTTTGAACTCATCCTTTTATTCTGTGAAAGTTTTTGCATGACTGACATAATTTTTTTTTTTTTTGCGGTACGCAGGCCTCTCACTGTTGTGGCCTCTCCCGCTGCGGAGCACAGGCTCCGGACGCGCAGGCTCAGCGGCCATGGCTCACGGGCCCAGCCGCTCCGCGGCACGTGGGATCTTCCCAGACCGGGGCACGAACCCGTGTCCCCTGCATCGGCAGGCGGACTCTCAACCACTGCGCCACCAGGGAAGCCCCCTGACATAATTTTAAAAAGTCAACTCTAATCGGCTGTCTAATTAACCCTCCAGGACTACAGATAACAGTTAACATTTTTAATTATATTTATTTTTGAAAAGTTCAAAGAAGTACATAAAGGACAGCCTCTCAGTCATCCAGTTTCTCTCGCCAAAATCAACCAAGGTTACCGAATTCTGTGTATCCTTTCAAATAAAGATGTGCAATTAGGAATATGTACTGATAACATATTAATGTTTCAACAGTTTGGAAGGAACGTAATCAATCTTTTTTTTCTGGATGAGTACTTAGAGAAAGAGATAGACTTTCCCAACTCGATGCTGAATTATGTTCCACATTTCCAGATTTTCTTTTAAACTAATGAGCTGGTAGAAGGGAGCCTGTAATCTTGAGTAAGAAAACAAAACAGGAAGAATATAAAGGGAACTGGAAGGCAGCATAGGTCCAGAGGAGAAAGAGTGGCTCCAAGTAAGCATCCAGGATCTGAGTGATGTACGGTGTCTGCAGCGAAAATGAGAATTAAGATCAGGTAGACATCTCTGGCCCCTGACCAAATCTCACCCTGTATCACACCCTTTCCTGAGTGCTCACCTAGCCCCAAGGAGGGAGTCCAACTCAATTTTCAAGGCATGTAGTTTTAGAGTTTATAATCCTATTAGCAATAATTGTTCAGAAATAGAAGAAACAGACACAGTAAAAGCCCTTATTCCTGAAGAAATCCTCCAGTTTTCTTGGCAGCTTGACATGGTGTCATCAAATCAGATTTAAAAGTCATAATTAAAGAGTCAAAATATAGAGAGAAATTTTATGAACTTGAGAAAGGTTTGTTTTTCCCACTTTCTTCTCAACAATTAAACGTGGGCTCCTTGCTTCCCTGGTGGCCCAGTGGTAAAGAAGCCGCCTTCCAATGCAGGGGACGCGGGTTTGATCCCTGGTCAGGGAACTAAGATCCCACGTGCCACGGGGCAACTAAGCCCATGAGCCACAACTACTGAAGCCCGCACGCCCTAGAGCCCATGCTCCGCGACTACTGAGCTCGAGCGCCTCAACAAGACAGCCCACGTACCGCAAACTACAGAGCCCACACGCTCTGGAACCCGCACGCCTCAACTAGGGAGAGAAAACCTGCACACCACAACTAAGAGAGAAGCCCACGCACCACAACAAAAGATCCCGCATGCTGCAACTAAGACCCCACAGAGCCAAAAAAATTAAAAAAAAAAATTTTTTTAATGTGGCTCCTTGCTTACCACCCTGAAGTGATTTGAAACTCTAATACGAAATGTCTCTGAGATGAAAGGGGCTTTCATTGTAGGTGAAAAGAAATGTTTCTCAGATATTTTCAGAGCCAAAGCTCACTATACTAAGGGTATTGGATTGCTGTTGATTTACTGATAGATTTATGAGCCTAACCAATTTACTCACTGAAGTGAGAAATTATGACAGGTAGTTTTTATGTGTGTGACTCTCCAACCTTGGCAGTATTCCAAGGATCAAGCAAGAGTCTATTCAACAAACTCTGGTCCTGGCTAATTGTAAATCTTAACCATTAGTGCAAAGATCCACAGACCCACAGGGATCGACACCAAATCTCCTGAATTAGGATAAGAAAGCACTTTAACCTTTTGCTTTAAAGTCATACCTTTTCAAGTGGATAGTTCATTACCAGCACCAGGTACATTTAGGCTCACCAGAAAAATGCGGACCTGACTATTTTGGTAAGGCCATCAAACTCTGTATGCTGCCCCTGAGTGGACACAGTTTGACTTTATTTGCAGTAAGAAAGTTGGATGAGAATAGTTAACACATCAACAGTTGTACTGTTTCAGGGGTCTGCAGTGCTCAAATCCTTGCAGTTATAACTTAGGATAATTATCAGAAGGGAAATTAACATCATTTTTATGTAGGACCTTCATATTTTAAGTCTACAGGAAATATATTGGGAGAGGTCCAAGAGGTCCAGTCTCTAAATATTGCACCCAAAATGATAAACATCAGGTGGTGGTAATGCTATGGTTCTTTCTCTAGAATGGCCTGTTCAAATCAATGTGACGAAAGGAAGCCAGTAGTTGTAAATCACCTCTGTTCACTGAGAACAGCTTTGCCACCCCAGGCAAGAGTCACCCCCCTCCTGAGTTCCACATCTGTAAAACGGAATAACAGAACGGCCTCTTTCCAGCTGTATAAATTAGAATGATCTCTTTGGCAGTAAAAACGATTTAAGTATAAAGCCAATATGTTCTAAATTTTTCCTAGGTATTCCTTGTGGAGAAGGCAGGGCGACGCTCTCTGTTTTTAATCGGAATGAGTGGGATGTTTGTTTGTGCCATCTTCATGTCGGTGGGACTTGTGCTACTGGTGAGTTTGGTGCCTGCACTGAGATTTTTGGTTACCATATGATAGCACTGCTGAGCTGCAGGTTAAACGTTTGAGATTGACTTACGAAATAAAGCAAGAGGAACAGCATATAATACAAAGGAGAAGTGTAAAGAAAAAGAGAACTAGTTTAGGGGTTTAAATATAGAACATCAGCAGGTAAACTGTGCTTGTTACCCAGAGAGGCAGTGTATATAATAGTAGAGCACAAGCTCTGGGATTAGTCCAACCAGGTTCTAATCCTGGCTCTGCCACTTGGCTGCCTGTGTGACCTTGGACAAGTACCTAGACCTTTCCAGCCCAGCACCAGCATCCACTACTTTACAGGAGGTCATGCATCCTGTCTAGCAACCTTGGTATGAGTAGAAGCAAAGGTCACTGGATCCTTGCTTTTCCTCTTTCACAGAAAAAGAGTGACTAAGAGTCATGGAAAATCCTAATCCAGAGGATTTCCTATAGCGCAAAAGATTTAAGGATGACTAAAACTAGAATAAACTTGTCTACGACTAGAATAACTTATACTTAATTGAATATAAACACATCAAGAAGGGAGCTATGTCATCTCTGAACTCAATGAGAATCTACCTAGCTAAAGGAAGAAGCAGTCAATGTCAGTTCCACTTTTGCTTTGTTTTTTGTTTTCTCCTCAGAATAAATTGGCTTGGATGAGTTACGTGAGCATGACAGCCATCTTCTTCTTTGTCAGTTTTTTTGAAATTGGACCAGGCCCCATCCCCTGGTTCATGGTGGCTGAGTTTTTTAGTCAAGGACCACGCCCTGCTGCTTTAGCAATGGCTGCGTTCAGCAACTGGACCTGCAATTTCATTATAGCTCTGTGTTTCCAGTACATTGCGGTAAGCAGCCTAATACTGTACAAATTTACTGAACAGAAGATAAGGTTGAAGAGCTGCTAATTGGAACTCTGTTTATTCTCTGTGCAGGACTTCTGTGGACCTTATGTGTTTTTCCTCTTTGCTGGTGTAGTCCTGGCCTTTACTCTGTTTACATTTTTCAAAGTTCCAGAAACCAAAGGAAAGTCCTTTGAGGAAATCGCAGCAGAGTTCCGAAAGAAGAGTGCTTCAACCAAAGCACCAAAAGCTGCTGTAGAAATGGAATTCCTTGGAGCTACAGAGACTGTGTAAAGATAACCTGCTTTTTGACAGGAACAGAAACAGGAAGGAAGCAGTGTTTTTTAAATGACAAGTTTTTTGAGAATTCTATATCTACATCTTGAAGTACTGTTTTATTTTTTAAAGAGATGTTATAGGCTTTGATCAGAAATGTCATCAAATATTACAAAGAAAGTATTTTTTTAACTTCGAGAATCTATTTTGGGTGGTAAGGCTCTATAATTAAGTAAACCAAAAAGTCTAGCTCATTTTGGTACACTAAATGGAAGGACATTCTAATGTTCTTAGTGCTGTCCTTTACAACAAGAGTATCCTGAAGTTGAAGCAGTTTCAGAGTTATTGCACGTGACTAGAAACACGTGACTAGAAACCTGAAGACACAACCAATATTTACATATTTACATATTTAAATATTTACATATTTAAATACAATTAAGTTGGAATTTTCCTACCTGCAGACCTCATATCAATACTAAGGGAGATATGACCAGTGGCAGTAAGGTCCACGTTAAAATTGATAACTTTTCCAGTTTTTCCCCTCAGCTTTTTTCTTGTGCATTAGAATTTGTGTTGTGCTTAAAAAGCTTTTTCTGTTATTTTTCATGTGGAATAGTTTATTAAGCACATTAAAATATGGTTATAAAGAAAAACTTTTATTTTGGGTAGGCTTACCAAAATCTTTCAGTATTTGGGGAAAAATTTTTTTTGTTGTTACTTTGATGACCAAATGGTTTTTGTAAGATTAAACACTAAAAGGTTTTACCTGGTCATTTAGCATGGGTTATCAGTTAATATTAACAGCTATTATAAGCCCATGTTAATTCCTTGCTGGTTCAATCCTTTGAGCTATAGTTTGTTTTGCGTTTTAACTGAGCACAGCTTGGTTTTCTGAGTTGTGTTATAAAATATACTCAAACAGTGATAAATCAAACACTTTGTATATCTCCTCAAACCCCAAATAAGATACAACAGTCTAACCTAGGAAATTGGAAGTAAAAGATTGCTCTGTTTGTTAAAAAATATTTTCTGAATTCTTATGTTTTAAAATAGAGTTGAAAAGGTAAGGTTGGAAGATCCTGAGGGCAGCCTCCTGAAAATTCATGAATGTTTAATTTCAGACTTGATCAATATCCTTTTTTAATTTTCTTGAAAAGACTTGAGTTGCCTAACACAAAACAATCATCCCATTTGACGTTTCCTTTTTTGCCTTAGCAGTATATGGATGCTATCTACGCTGTTCTCTTGCAATTGCTACCATTTATTGTACACTACCTATGTGCCAGGCACTGTTACAAGTGCTTTTATGTGGACAAATTGGAAATACACAGATAATTGAACAGACTTTCACTTACAGTCAATTTTGCAACTATGGAAATACAGTTCTGATGGATACCAAAGGCTTAGCAGGGAGCTAAAGTATCCCCAGGCTGTTTTCCTCACAAAGCAGAGCACTGAATCAATCTTTTTTACATTTGCTTTAATGTGCATGAAAGAAAGGCACTTTTTAAAAAGTTCTCTTTAAGAGTGGGAAAAACAATACTGAACACTTGGTGGGGGTTGTTTGTTTTTTCTTTTTTTTTTTTTTCCTTTATTTTTCTTTCCTTTTTTTGACCAAAGGTGTTTACCTTTACGTAATTTGACCTTCCAAACAACATGAAATTATTTCTTTTCACTTTGATTTTTGTTTCCTCTGGGCCAATTTGGGATAAACTACTTTCACTTAGGACTTCAGAACACAGTCACAGTGAGCTTAAATAGTTCAGTAGACCTTTTTGCTAAACTGTGAACTCTGTTAAAAAAAAAAAAAAAGTGGGGACTCTGAATAGGGCAGGAGCAGGAAAATGGCTCATCTTGCGGCCCTGTCTTCTTCAGGATGCTGAAGCATCAGCGTGCTGATGGCCTTTGAGAAGTCCAAAGTGGCACTGGTAAAGAAATTTAACATATTTATAGGTGATGAATGTGATTTATTCACATTCTTTAATCACTATTCCTGACCTCATTTAGAATAAAGTAGTAAAGGTTTAAATAAAGAACCCAAAAGACCCCTTTTAAGTTTTAATTAATTATTCTGATTGACCACCAATACCAAAAATTCGGACCCTGCAGTCTTCTGTCTCAGGGAAATGTAAATGTTTCCCTTTCATAATTTTTTCCTTTCAGAGATACAAGTGAGTTGAAAAGAAACATTAAGATGAAATAAGAGGCTAAGACAAAGGAACTAGCTTAACATGATAAAAGAAACTCCTAGGTTTTCAACAATATTCATCATAATATATAATAATATCGGCACTAATTAATTAGATTTAATCCCAGGGAAATTAGACGTGTGTTTCAATGTTTAATTTTCATAGTATGCTACCATTCTTGTGGAATTATTTTCATACTCTAACATCCTTACAAATGTGATTTTCTCTTAGCTTGCTCAGAGCACAATTACACTTCTTGATCTGGCCACTCATCTGCTAGATCTAGTGTTGCCCACTGTCATGACACCAATGCACGGATCTTCTCTCACTTCCTTCTCCCCACTCTCCTCTACACGATCAGCACAGTAGTGCATGCTGAGTTGAGACACAGTAAGAGAAAGCCCCTCCTCAAGGAGCTCAGTCTATTGAGGAGCTTAGGAAGACCAGGGTATAAACATCCCCATCTTCATCTTTTTCCTTCCATGAACCTCAAACTGAAGGCCTCTTTTGTAAAGAGGGCGCAATCATATACCTACCTCAGAGTTGTTGTGAAGATTAAAGTGCTAAGCAGAGTGTCTGGTACAAAGGGGGCGCTCAATAAATGTTACCTAGAATTAGTATTCATGAAGATACTGTTAGGATACAGGACTACCATATATAAGATAGTTCCAATTTTTTGTTTTGAATAAAAAAAGTTTTATAAATTCAAGATAATATTTTCTTACTTCAAGCAACAGTCTCATGATGACAAGGGAATGTTAAGAATTAGGGTAGATATTAGGCTATCTAATTCTTAAACCCATACCTGATATTTCTAAGTAGGTTGTAAGAGTTTCTATTGTATTTTTTAAACTTGCTTTTGCCTAAGTTATTTTTTAAGAGGTCTATATGTAATATTATTTCTTTGGATAATACTAAGTACAAAATAAAATGCTATATATCATATTTAAATGTAATTTAATAGGATTAAATCACAGGGCAAGACCAAACCTTGATAATCCTCAAAAATTGCAAAAGTGTATAAACCAGTATACATGCATAAGCTACTTCTTCTTGCTAGCTTATTGTTGCAAACGTAGCAAATAAAGCAGTATTAGGCAATATCTTGTGCTTACAGTGTCCTAAGCAAAGGTGCTGAGTAAAGTATATATAATTTTTCATTACAATTCTGTATTAGTGACCTGAGGAGAAAAGGTTTATTGTCAACCATTCTGAGCCATCTGCTGGTGTTTTTACTGCTTTCTAATTGAGTGCACATTAGAAAGAATCATCATGAAAATAAACTTGTTTTATTAGTATGTATACACTATTAATATCTATACACATACATAAACTATATGAATGTATACATATTTATAGTATGTATACACTATAGTTTTATGTCAATACGTGTATTTCCAAATACTGTGTTGTTTTATTTTATGTAGAAAATAACCACATTTAAGAAAATTGAGATTGGTTTATTGTATATACTCATTTCCTCTCACAGTATCTTTCCTATTCTCATTTTAAAGATAATATGTGAGTTACATTTTAAACCAAAATTTTATTTCCATCAAGCAGTTGTTTTGATTATCAGTAGTAGAAAAAACTAACCTGTAGGCTAGGTAAGAACAATTGAAGAGGAATGAATGACTCCCTTTGATGAAAATAGAAATAATTTAATTCGGTAAATATTGAATTGCACTCCTATTATGAACAAGACACTTTATTAAAGTTTTGTAAAAGAGACAAAGCTTAGAAAACATGGCCCCTATCCTCATTCACCTGCATACTCATAAAGGGGATAAAATTTGAAAACAAATAGTTATAGTACAAAGGAGAGAAAAGGAAAAACTGTAAGTTAGTGGTTTTAAAATTTTTAAGTTAATGTCTAAAATTTTTCATCATATGTTTAAATAGCTGCAAAGGATAAAATTTTTCAAAATATAGTATATATTTACATTTTAAAATTGCTATGCTCTATTTATTCAATAGCATTTAATTACCATAGTAATTTGTTACTCAACATAACCACTTAAAATATATATATAAATATATTTTTATATTTAACAGTTGGAAAATTTACTGCATTATTTTCTATTCTCATATTTCTGTTCCATTTCCCCCAAAGAATTTTATCCTAAAGCAATAAATATACGTGCTTTAAAATATTTTTGATGATTCTAAGTTTCTGCAACAAAAAATATCTATAATTTGAATTTGAATTTTTAAAAATGTCCTGTGTCTACAAAGGTCAAAATGTTTAACCTCTTTTTCTTTTCTGGATTGAGTTAGCATTTATGATAATTAGTAGCACATAACTGCAGAAAATTATCCATATTACAAATTTTGATAAAATTATTCATTTTTTATTTTTTAATTTTTTAATTGAAGTATAGTTGATTTACAATATTGTGCCAATCTCTACTGTACAGCAAAGTGACTCAGTTATATACATTTATCATTTTTAAAATATTTATTTTAGAAATTCATCTCAGTGAGAAGTATGGGTTTTCTTCAAGTAATTTAAATATTAATGGATAGGGGCTTCCCTGGTGGCGCAGTGGTTGAGAATCCACCTGCCGATGCAGGGGACACGGGTTCGTGCCCCGGTCCGGGAAGATCCCACATGCCGCGAAGCGGCTGGGCCCATGAGCCATGGCCGCTGAGCCTGTGCGTCCGGAGCCTGTGCTGCGCAATGGGAGAGGCCACAACAGTGAGAGGCCCGTGTACCGCAAAAAAAAAAAAAAAAAAAAAATTAATGGATAGGTATTTCTTATTGCTAATGTGAAACAGTGTTCAACATAAATCCTATCATTACTTTTTGTTATTATAGATGTATTGAAAATCTTCTTTTCATAAATAAGTAGATAGGAATGGAAGGACCAATGTCATTTAATTCCATAACTATATCTAAGTTATAGCCAAAAAGCACATAAAAATTAATCATCAAAGTAATTTTTAATAAACTATCAGCTAATAACTCAATTGGGCCCTTTAATTTTGTTGAAATCAAAGAACCTGTATTGTGAAAGGACTTGTTATCCAGTTGTTAAAATTATTCTCTCCCTAGTTTCTGGGCAGCATACCAAAAAGGCTTTACCAAGACTTATTAAAAGACTATTAGTTATATTGTTGAATCTTTCACTTAGAGGCAACTTGCTTAACATGATATACTCAGAAGGGTTTGGGAAAATTGAAATATAATTAATTTCATGCATTTTCACATATA